ATCTCTCTATTCTTTCTTTCGATTGTCATATTTTTTTTACTGTTAAGTTGTCATTTTTAATAACCATACTCTTTCATTATATTCTACTGAATCTACTTCCTATCTCCCATCTAACTAAACCGGTAGTTAATTCCTAATACTCAATGCTATTATCTATCTCCAACAACAGAGCCAAAATATGATTGTCGTTTTACTTATTCTACAATTCCTTTCAAAATAAACTTGTATAGGGAAATTCGAACACAAGAAAAGACTAAGTTCATGAGCTTTACTTGTTAGGGTCACACAATTAACTGTATTCCGAACCACTGAAACACTATTAAACACTACAATGCTTCCTCCCAGTAACAATACTCCTTCAACAATTGATAACAATAGTGTGCAACCTTGCACTCTCAAAAGACCGCTCAAAATACAATAATTTCCATCCAACACCAGAAATAATAGACTTCACTCCAACCAATCTGGATTCACAAAATTTTTGTAATCACCAACTTCCTTTGTCTAAAATACACATAGCTCTCAATAAATAACAATCATAATCATCTAATAACTCCTCATATAATTCAATCACTCAGTACTCCAATTACATAATCAATAACTCATAAACCAATCTTTGATTTATTCCACAGACTCACTTCTCAATATTCAAAAACTATCTATTATTCTTCAACAACAAAGAAACAAAAAGAAACAAAGAGACAAAGAGGTAGCACCAAGCTTACCCCGGCTCATGACTATCACAGTCTGGTACCCCAACAAACTTCTACAACTCCTATATAATTACTCCTGATTTCCAGATCCTAATCATAATCGTGTAATTAATCACTTTTAATAACTAAGTCAATCATCTGTCCTCCTAAACTAACTATTCTATGGACTATTAATCTATTTTATCAATATCTTACAAAAACGAACTAATATCTATTCTACATAATATAAGATATTTTAATTTTTATGTAAGATTTACGAAACAAATTTATACTTGTATTATTTAAACTGTCTTAATTGTACTACTTAATTTTTATTAATATTATATTTTATTCATTTTTACTATTTTATAAAAAAAGCTTCATCATCTATATAATTTTGAAGAAAAATATGATAGAACCTATGGCAAATACATAACAAATATTTTTTTTATTTACAATATAATATTATATTTCAATAAAAAAATATATCTTTAAATATAAATTATATATATATATATTAGTATTATCAATTTATATGTAATCAAATATAGATATATACTTCTTAATTTTTTACTTTGTATATTTTTATCATTTAAAAAATATAGATAATTTCTTCATTTTATAATTTATTTTAAATATTAGAAATGTTTGTATATAATATTGACTTATCTATATACAAGTACAAAATTATTAAATATTGACATAATGCCAAGGACAAGAACTTGAAGAAAGTAATCAAATAAATGAAATATATCTCGTAGAAAGATAACAAAAAAATAATTAAAAAAGTATGTATATTCAAGGAAAAACTAGAATGGCTAGTGTAAAAGATAAAAAGCTATAAACTATTGAAATTATACTATAAATAAAAAAGAGTTGATAAGAATAAAGAAGGCCTTATACTTGCATCTATATATACTACCTAACTAAGATCTACATTGTAATATTCTATAAGACCTTTTATACTTACCTAACTTATAAAGAAAGTTTCTTATATGTATGCCACATTGCCAATTTTTTTCTTTACAAAAAAAATAGAAGCTCTTGTTAGAAATTTTGAATGGCGTATGAGGTTCTTGACCAAATTCTCATTAATGTATTGATTGAATTTAGCCAACTCATTTTATAGTAAGCTATAAATTGATCCAAATGGGGATTGAGTTCTTTCTTAAAAGTGAATTAAATAGTCATGAAAATGATATTTTGGAAGTAAATATATATTTTTCTTCTAAAAAATATCAATAATAATTTTAAAATTAGATTGAAATGTCACTTTAAGTCTTTCTATCATTAAAAATATGTGTAATACAAATAACTAAGGATGACTCTTCTTTTACAATATGCATAAAAGTTCTTATACCTATAAATAGAAGTTTACTTATATTAGACTTATGACTTTTTACTTTATTAGAAAAAGTCTTATTTATGCTTTGGAAAAAATCAAGACTATTACAAATTCAATATAATCATGTATTATATTTTTTAACTAAAATGATTAGATATTATGGAGATATAATAATATTGAATATTACTAAGTTTTTATCATCAAACTTCTTAAGCGAGGCAATTCTTTATTTTTTGGTGCTTAAACAATGTTCTATCATAAAAAAAAGTAACATAATTTGGTATAGATGTTGAAACAACTCCATTCATCTTTATATCTTCACTTCTAACTAATTTGATTATTCTTTGTAGTAGTAAATTGAGTTAATGCATTGGAAGAATTAACTCATTCATTCATTCTTCCACTTATATTGTTGTACTCTTCATTTTAAAAAGTTTTACCATAATAAGAGAGTAGAAAAAATAATATTTAATATTACTTGAGATAAGTAAAAGAAAAGATTGAAGGACAAAGAAAATTCTAAGAATAATATAAGTTTAAAAGAGGATAATCTATAACTTCTAATTTTCTTAAATCTTATTAAAAGAAAGAAGACAATCCACTATTAATTAAAAAAGACAAAGATTTGATATTATAAGTATAATCTTGATATAATATCATGGATAAAAACTTAAAGAATATAATTAAACAAGTGAGATGTATCTCAAATAAAGAAAATAAAAATAAGAATGAAAAAATATATATATTCAAGAAGAAATAGAAATTGATAGTACCAAAGACAAAAAAAACTATAGATACTTGAAACTATACAAGAAACAAGAAAGGAATTAATAAGAGTAAGGAATGCCTTACACTTTCCTCTATATATGTTACCTAATTAGGATCTATGAGGCAATGTTCTAAAGAACCTTTGATATATATTCAACTTACAAGATATTTGTCTAATTTGCAAAACAAGTTTCTTATATATGCATCACATTACCAACTTATACCATAAATGGCCAATATGTACAATACTTGGCCAAGTTTTTAACCTACCAATGACCTATAGACACATATAAAGTCAAATTGTGTCTATGAAGCTTCTAAAAAGCTTTCTGTAAGATAATATATAATTTATATATTTTTATTTACTTCTATTTAATTCTTCTTATTTAGTAATTACTAGTGTCAATTATGTCTATGACATACAATTTTAATTTATGAATATATATATATATATATATATATATATTTGATCTTAATTTAAACATATTTATGTATGTAATTTAAAATATATCAAATACATTTTCTAAATATTGAAATAACAATAATATTATTTTTAAAATTTTATCTTACAAAAATTTCAAAAGTCTATAATTTTTTAGTTTATAGTTAAATTATATGGATATTTTTATTTATATACTTCATTCATATTATTTGATATTTTAATAAAAACATGTTTTTTAATAAATATATTTAATTAATCTTAACATTTAAATATATTACTCTTATACTAAAGTATTTGGATACATGTTATAAACCACTAATTTTGTGACAACAACTTACCTATAAGTTGAGAATATTTCAGGTCATTTGTTTATTTATGCTTTATGAGTTTTGAAACATATTTTATCATTTTAAATAAAAAATAAACATAAATATTAAAAATAATCTTACAAAAACTACAAATCCACTCAAACCACTCATTCATTCATTCATTCATTCAAAATCACAAAAGATTGCATCCTCTTACACTCTACATCACTTACCATCTTACCATATGTTGTGTCCTCCTCCAAATGAAACAGTTTGAATCCAATCACACATTCATCCTCAAAATAAAAACAAATACCATCTATAAAAAAGACTATAGAAGAAGAAGATCATGCCATCCATCTATTCCTATTATTTGCACATTGTAATGATATATATATATATATATATATACATATATCATAGAACATTGTTCGTTTGTGATTCGAAATCTAATCTATACACGTAATAGATTATTATATAACATGTCATCCTAGATACTGAAACAGTTCCTACAAAAAATAAAAACAAAAATATAATCAAACAACCATCTCCACCATAAAATTAGAAAAAAAGATAACATGTTCGGTTTCCCTACACCGTAAATTGAGCGAAAGATCGGTTTGATAGATTAAAAATTACCAACTCAATGTAATGTTTTTGTTGATTTTAAACAAAACAAACAGAGCCCCACCCCCAGTGGGAGGGTGGGGAGATCATCCGCGAACTACTGGAATGATCGATAGCAGCAATTGGCAGCAGAAGAAGCAGCAGAAGAAGCAGCAGGACTCTCTCTGTTTCTCTATCCATCCACGGCGGAATGGCGCCGAAGGGGTTCGGCGAATCGAGGACCCAGAGCCCTGAAAATCTGCGCTCCCCGCCAAGGCAACACCCCAATAGCAGCAGGCCGAGTTTGTGCCCCTTCTCCCCACTACCATCCCGAACCCCGCGGAGCCTGCACGAGCTTGACCAGGGGGACTCACTCACTCGCTAGATGCCGCCGGAACGTCATCAGTCAGTCATTCAATGCCCCACCGGGATGATGACGAGATGACTTTCCTTTCTCCGTACCCTCCCTTTGCATCACGGCCAGGGCGGGAGGGGGAGGGAGGGGGTGGGGTAAAGTTGATAACATGGCCACTTCATCCTCCCTCCTCCTCCTTCTCCTCCGATGTCAGTTACTATTGACACGTACCTGCTGAAGAATTATGTGGCATGGCACAGGATGTGTAGTCAGTCAGTCATCTCTTGACGCGGATGAGAGGGTTTACCGCCCAGTGGATTTGATTGATGGTGCGACGAGGCAGGAAAATAGTATCGATGCAGCATTTCAGCGTTGCGGGGATGATGGGGATGGATGGGGTGATTGGTTGATGCCTGGAACACGACAATCGTGGTCGTGGTCGCGCTTGTGCTTCTCGTCCCCCCCCCCCCCCCCCCTTTCACTTCCCAGCACCGCCTGCGGCACCCAGAGCTCGAGAGGGAGAGAGAGATAGAGAGAGAGAGAGAGAGAGAGAGCGCGCCTGACAAAGGGCGACGACTCGCTTTTTGTGTTTTTGTTTTGTTTTTGATTGTTTGTTTGTTTGTTTTTGTTTTGTTTTGTTTTGTTTTGTTTTTTACCTTTTTTTTTTTTGGGTTTCGCCGGGTTCGCGTCATCGGGAATGCGCGTGAAGGGGTAGATCTGGAGGAGGTGTCGGAGCGCGAAGTGGTGTAGTGTCAAGTGTGTTTATTTTATTTTATTTATTTATTGGTTTTTCAGCGGTGTGGATTCAGAGGGTTACTTCAAGGCTTCGCGAATGCAGTTTTGAACCTTCGAATAAGGTGAAGTGTGGGCTCTTGTTGTTGTGAATAGCGGAGCTGGATATCGTGTCTTTCTGGTGTTAGATTACCGACTGTGGGTGTAGGTGGGTGGGAGGGTTTCTGTGTTTTTCTTCGGACCTTTGAGTAGAGTGGAGTGCGTGGTACTGGATTTGCGAACAAAGGAGCTGGGTATCGTGCTTTCCTGGTTGCAGATTGTCGGCTCCTCTCTTCTCCACTCTGCTTCTTCTTCTGTTTTATTATTATCATTATTATCATCATTATCATTATTAGTATCATTGCCATCTTTCAATTCAATGGAGGGATTACAACCGCTTCAGGTGCATGGGGACAGTTGCGTCGCCTTATATTGAGATCTTGCTGAATAACATCCATCATCACATAATAAGGATTCTGGGTTTCCCAAGTGTTGCCGCGGAACTGCGTGGAGGAACAGATCAGATGAAATAGTGTACAGAATGGGTGCTAAGTTCAGGAGTTTCTAGACGCGCAGATGCAGATGTGCAAAATCATGCTATACTGAGGAAAGCATTTTGTAACATCATCTGTCTGGTTAGGACTAGTTTATTTGGCCCCGAGTAGTGAATGAAGACAAACAGATCACAATGTCGAAGAAGAAGATGGTGAATGATGCAACGAAGGAAGCAAAGGAACTCTGGGAACATCTACTTCATGAGAAGCAGGCTTTGCCCTATTTAATCCCCGTCTTCCTCTTGGCGTGGATTTTGGAGCGGTGGATCATATCATTCTCCAATTGGGTTCCCGTGTTTGTTACCGTCTGGGCCACTCTCCAGGTATGGTCAGAAGGATGCTGCATTCTTGAGTATTGTTGTTGCTCATGATTGGCGAATTCGTTCTGTGTTGTCAGAAGCTGTTTTTTAATTTTTAAAAATTAGTTAAGAGATAATACATGCTCAATTTTGAATGCTGGATTTTAAGAACTGATTGTGGTTTGGGACAAATCATTGAACTCATGCTTGCGGAGTTGTGTTCAAGAAGGATTTGTTTCGTCTACCGCTGTTGTCCATATGATATTGGTACTGGTAAGACAAGTGCATCTTCAAGAGTGAGGTTATGAGATGGCTACGACGTCATGTTTTCAATGAGCACAACCGCTGATTACATTCAATGTCTGCAGTATGGTAAACATCGACGTGAGCGTGAAGTGGAGGATCTAAACAACCGATGGAGAAGGCATATTCTTTGTAGTCAGGTTCGTTTCTACGTACTCAAGAATCAAGTCATGATCACTGTATTGCTGTGTCTGAAGATGGGTTTTTGGTTTGTTGTTGTTGTTGAAGATCTGTTATGTGCCATTCACATAATTAAAGCATCTTAGCTGGGAAACAGTGTTGGAGTTACTTTGTAGCTTGCTATGTCAATCAAAATCCACCTTCATTGAAATGCGTAAGCATGGTCGAGGTGACGTATCTCATAGGAAGAGGGGTTGGTTGTGTCCAGAATGTATTCTAGTGCTACGTGATGTTTTTGAGACTAGCTTTTTGTGGGATTGTTACATGAACCAAAATCCATTCTAGATGTACCATCTTCATTTACGAAGTGTTTTTTTGAAACCAGCCAAGCACACCTATTGAGCCCTGCGAATGGCTCAACAGGATGCTTATGAATGTCTGGCCTAACTTCTTGGAGCCCAAGCTTACTGAAAGATTTCGTCGAATTGTCCAGGTTATCTTTCTTGGCCAAATCTCGTCGTTTGACTTTGAACCATAGCTTTTCCACTGTTATTTACTTGGGTTGATTTCTACACATTTTATAGAGATAATCTCTCTACCTGCAAGTGCCATGAAATTATACGAGTTATCTAATTACTCATGCGGTTCAATCCCTCTTGTTCTAAATAAATTGAAAGTATTTATGGTTTGCAGTTTTTTATATTTTAAGTTTAAGTAAATTTGATCCTTAAATTGAAGATGTTTTTTGGGGTGCTTATTGTGATTTACAGAGTCGGTTGAAGGAGAAGAAGCCTAGACCCATCGTAAGTTCCAACCTACGTGCTCATATTCCGCCGGTGTCTGTTCTGGTTTGTGGGATGAAATTGTAGGGTGAGGTTTGCCCATTCTCGGCTGCTTCTCCTTTATCGGAGGTTCGATTTTCCTGTTGACAATTCCAACGATGGCTTGTACCCCTTATTCTCAAAATATTATCAATCTTGCATACCCACTAATATTCCTCCTCATATCCTGTAAATTGGAGCAGGCACTGACCTAGAACACTAATTGCGAATTCTGTGGATTGGTTTACATTGGTTTTGAATGCTGCCGAAAGAGCCAGACAACTTATTTTGTACCTTTTCTGTCCCTACAGATCAGTATGGAAGTCGCGGAATTCCATCTAGGAACAGCCCCACCTATGTTCGCGCATGAGGGAGCTTACTGGTCGACGGAAGGCGAGCAGGTATTTCTCTACAATTGCTCTTTTTAAATCTAAACAAGCTTTTAAAGCTACGCATTGGAATCCTATGATTAGGATTTTTTAAAGATCGAAACAAATTACGTCTGGAGTACTGTGTGCATTGTTTTGGTGTTTGTTAGTGCTTCACGTTGTTCCGTTCCTTGTGCATTTATGGATGGACTTCTTAAAGTTACGTTCTTGTTGTCCTTTGGCAGGCGGTATTAAACATGGGTTTCGAGTGGGATACTACTGAAATGACTATTCTGATTTCTGCCAAATTGGGGGGACCTCTGCGCGGGAAAACCGCTTCCATCTTAGTCAATAGCATCCATATCAAGGGTGATGTACGTGTCCATGCACTCTCACTTGATTGTGTGCATGCTAAGTGATCACAAATGAATCATGCATTTTATGGAGTAAACGTGTCAGGAACTCACTCGTCAATTTTCGTTGGAATTGCATGTGAGGACTTATATTTTCTCCACATGCATAAAATTTAAGCTCTTGCTTCTAGATAAAATAACATATTCGAGTGGGTTCTGGTGTTCAGTTGCGCTTACTTCCTGTTCTGGACGGACAAGCAGTGCTTTTTTCCTTCAAAAATACCCCGGAGGTCAGGATAGGCTTGGCCTTCGGCAGCGGCACCCTGTCTTATCCTCAAACAGAGCTTCCTTTTATCTCATCTTGGTTGGTCAGTGATTCAAACTTTTGATTCGTATGATAGTTCTTGTATGTTCTTGATTTATTTGAAGCATCAGAAAACAGTTCGGAGCTCTGGTCCTGGAATGAAGAATTAGCTCGATTTTAATACTGCGTCGAAATCGGAACAGGAGAAATTACTAGTCGACACTCTTAATCGCACAATGGTGGAGCCCCGAAGAAGGTGTTTCTCTCTTCCTGCCGAGGATAGGAAAAAGAAGGCAGTTGGGGGCATCTTTTCGGTTACTATTGTTTCAGCTCGAGATTTGACAAAAAGCAGCGCCCAAGACTCTAGAAACTCTAGCAATGCAATGATGTCCAACGGTGATGCCAGTGTCCATTTGAGCAACAATGGAAGTAACAATGGAAGTAGCCATGGTGGCAGCAAGAATGGATCTGTAAACAAGAAGTCTGAGAAACTGAGGTTTGTGGAGATTTCATGTGAGGATTTGACCCGCAAGACAGGCATGCAGAGTGGTCCCTTCCCTCATGTATGGAACGAGACCTACGACATGGTTTTGCATGAAAATGTGGGCACTGTGCACCTAAATGTGTACGAGCAAGGCCAAAATGTCAAATATGACTTTTTAGGAAGTTGCGAAATTAAGGTGGTTCCCATAATCCTTATATTATTTATTTTAGAGTTTATTTGCACCCTATTTGTGTCAGATATTTCTATCCTCATATGAGGACCGAAGATCTACACAATTTGCCTTGTTCTCCTTGGAGCGGTGCCTTTGGACAGTCGGGATGAATATATAGTTATTGTTTATTTGATGCATTTTTGGACCAAAAGTATCTTGTTATGCAGTAGGATATTTAATTAGCTGTAGGTTTCGTACCAAAAATAATATCAGTACCGTAGAGGGTGGAGGTAGATATTGTCGTTGGAATGCGTTTGTTTTGTAGAAAATTAACTATCTAACACAAGTATGGGGGTTTGGGTGTCAGGTGAAGTACGTCGACGATGACTCCACGATCTTCTGGGCTGTGGGTCCAGCTCAGAGTGTTCTTATTTCTCGAGTTGAAAGCTGTGGAAAAGAAGTCGAGTTCACTATCCCCCTCGAAAACGTAGCATCTGGAGAGGTGCAGTTAATAGTCCATTACTTTTGGTCCAAATTCTTGCTTTTAGTTCCAACATATTTTGGACGTGCTTCGTGTGGGAGGCACTTTCTAAGCATTGTTCCTATGAAGGGTGCACTATTACTTCGCAACATTTTTAGAAAAACGTGGTTGCGAAGCCCCTGGAGCTGGCTACTCAGCTTATTAGGCGGCCAATAAGCTGTTTTTCTAAGAATGTGCTGGCTACTCAGCTTATTCTATTACGTGGCAGGTGACCGTAAAACTTGTCCTTAAAGAATGGCAATTTTCTGATGGATCGAAAGCAGTAGCAAATTCTTCTCCGAGCAGTTCAATGCTTGGCCAACAGAACTCAGCGGGAGCTCAATCAATGCGACCAACTCTTACTGGTAGAAAGCTCCGCATCTCTGCAATTGAGGCCCGAGATTTGGCTCCAATGGACAGGACTGGTAAAAGTGATCCATATCTAAAGTTGTTTTATGGCAAGGTATGTTTTCTCATGTACCTTTTTTCTGAAGAGTTCATTCCGTTTATTGTTACAGCACATTCTTGGAATAGCTCAATTTCTAGTGTGTGTTTTGAGGCTTTTGTATTGCAATTGCTGTGGATTATATATTCTGTATTAAATACTTGTTTTATGTAAGGAATCTCTTTAAGGAAGTGTTTGTTTTGATTGTTTGTTACAGCTTATTCGCAAGACAAAAATCGTGAATCAGGAACTGAATCCCACGTGGAATCAAGATTTTTTATTTCAAGAGGTAACCGGTGGAGAGTATCTCAAAATCAAGTGTTATGATGCTGACCGCTTTGGAGACGAGAATTTGGGAAGTGCACGAGTGAATTTGCAAGGAATCGAGGAGGGAACTCCTAAAGATGTGTGGGTACCCTTGGAGAAAATTAAGCAAGGAGAAATTCACCTTAGAATCGAAGTTGTTGCCCCTGAGCTCTCACAGATTCCTTCCAGTGTGGGTTTCTAAACATCTCATGGAAATTTCTTCTTTGTTTCTTTTACGCATTTTAATTAGATTGTAAGAGGCATTCTTGAAGGTGTGATCACAATTTTATTCTCCTGTGTTTTGGTCTAGTAGCGGAGTCGCTGTTTATCAGTCGCGAATGAAGTTGACCTTTTAGCATGCCATGGTGTTCAATTCAGAATGGCTCCGAAAATGGATCACATCCAACTGGGGATGGATGCGTGGTGGAGATCGTGCTCGTTGAGGCCCGAGACCTTGTAGCAGCGGACTGGGGAGGAACAAGTGATCCGTATGTTAGTGTGCGATACGGTCAAATCAAAAAACGTACTAAGGTAAGAAAAAATCCTAATTTTTCTTGAGGTGACTGAGGAATGTTTTCATCTTGGAGAGGAATTTCTAGGCCTCTAAATTGGTTTTGTAGGGATTTTGCTATATTATGTTAGACTAGTTTGTTTATGCACCCTTCAGCTCACGAAATACTACTGGGCTGCAGGTTGTCTACAAAACATTAACTCCAACCTGGGGTCAAACTCTGGAATTCCCAGATGATGGAAGTCCTTTAGTCCTTCATGTAAAGGACTACAACAACATTCTCCCTACTGTTAGCATAGGTCATTGTGATGTGGATTATGAGGGACTACCTCCAAACCAAATGCTGGATTCATGGCTACCATTGCAAGGTGTGAACAAGGGCGAAATCCATGTTAAGGTAACTCGCAAAGTTCCAGAGAGGCTTGTCAAGGCCGCTTCTGAAGAGCAGCCTAAGCCCACATTTGCCCCGACCTACAGTGGGAATGCAAAACTTCAGAGAAGTGCCGGGAAGGTGTGTGAATCACCTCACATTTGCTTTGATTTGTATGAGAGGAAAGTAATGCTAGTAGCAGTGGGAGTAGAATGGTGAGAACTTAATTGCATAACTTGCAGCTGATTTTTGGTTTTTTTTGAGCGATTGCAGGTGCGGTCGTTGCTTAGAAAGGCCATGGCTCTCGCCGAAGAGGAGGAGGACATTGAAGAGATCCGACAAATGTTGGAAGAGTTAGAAGGTGCTGAAGAGGAGCGTGAGGTTACCATTTCACAGCTTCAGAAGGACAGGGATGTCCTAATCGCTAAAGTAAGGGAGCTGGAAAAAGCAATGAGTGGATTTTTCTAGGCACCAGGTTTGATTTTTCCTCCAATGCAGATGCTTAAGTGCATTATGGAAAATTGGATTCATCCTGCTTTGCGTTGCCTTGATGGAAGTTCCTCAGGATGCACACTATTTCGGTCCTGGTACAGCTCATGTCCATAACTTCTATCTCCCCAGAACTGCCTTCCAAAGTTTTGGCGTTCGCATGGCCTGGTCTGCTCCAAATTAGCGTTTGCATCCCTTGTGGCAGATTCCACCCCTTGTACAAATATGGATTAGCTTTGCATGCCTGACAATCTGAGGCGTGTTTCGAATCAGGAGTTTTAGTCAATCCTTAGGAGGCTCAATTGAACTTATCACAGTAAAGAGTACTGGTCAGGAAAAGAGGAGTGAGCATATCTCATTGCCCTGAGTCCCATTCCACCTTGATCAGTTCTATCCTCGGTGTTATATTACACCATCTACATAAACAATTTCAATTTTTTAAATCATATATTTTTGGGTCTCTTGTACATGCTTTACACTTATCTCTGATTGTTGAGGGAGCAAATACATGGTCATGTGCAATGGAAGTGTCGTGTGCTGTACTCTAAATTGCCCGTTGTTTCAATATTGAACTTAGCCGATGTTGCTCCCTGATCCATTTAGCGCTTTAACCCTTAATTTTTTTTTAATTCTTTTTGTTCTATTATTTATTTAAACATAATAAAAAAATTAGTTTAAAGTAGTTTTCTGAAGTACTGATAAATTTTTAGAATTTTTCATGCTGTAGAAAAATTAAACAAATGTAGGTAAATTTAAGTTATATTATCTTTGGCATATTATGTTAATTATAAAACCCACAAGCTTTGCTTTAATGATGATCTTCTAAATGATTTTTTAAAAAAGAGTTTAATTGTCCACTACAAAATTTAGAAATTTATTTTTATCCATTATATCATTTTTACTCTATTAACATAATCAAATTTTAAATTGATTTTTTTTTTACATACAATTGATTTTGACTTAAATATGTGTCTAGACAAAATATATATATATATATATATATATATATATACTCAATTCATCAAATCTTTATACAAGTTAAACTGAATAATGTGTATATTTTTGCAAATATATTTTGAACAATGTTTAATCTATGATAGCATATCAAAATTAGTAACTAATTAAATTCTATTTGACAAATCAATGTTTTTCCAATTTTCATAGGACCTATGAAATTATAAATACCTAAAACTTTAAATGCAAACAAAATTGAATATTAAAGACCAAAGTTTCACAAATAGAATTAATATTTTGTAATTTATATAACATATTCATTAAAGCCATAATATAGAATCAATTTTACAAGTTATAAAAACATTTATTACAAACAAAATCTTTAGAATTAGACACAAAAGAATCTCAAACATCAAAACAAAAAATCTTGATGTTTCTATTAGAGATTCATAAATTAATTAACAAAGGACATGATAGAAAAAAAAAATGTATAATAGATAGAGTATTGGTTGAATAAGAAGTAAATGTAGAAAATATAAAGATTTAAAAAAAATGCCATGGTAGTTTTTATATCATTTATGACACAATGCCAATAATCTGTCATATTAAGAGCATAACTTATGTTGAATGTTTGTGATATATTATATTCTATAGTAACAAAAATTCAATTTCAAAAATATATATAGTATATAGATATATATATATACTACCATCAAAATTCAATATATAGTATATAGATATATATATACTACCATCAAAATTGCTTGTAAAAATCACAAGTTTAAGGCATTTGATTTAATGATATTATATTGCATATGATATATTATACAAAATATATATCCATATAAACAATAATTTAAATTTAATCCATGTATATCTTCAAAAGAATAGAATATAGAATCACAATTCCAAAATAACGTGTTCACAAATAGGATTTAACATTACTAATTTTGTACATACATTTATATAAGATGTAATGAATAAAAATACACTCAAAGGCCGTGTGAAAGATATAACATTATTCATAGAAAAAGAAAATTGACATAAAAGGATCTATTCAAATTAAAAAAATAAAAAAATAAAAAGTCAAAAGTCAAAAATTCTCAAGAACTTCAAAAAATATTTTCAAAACATAAAAAATATAAATTTAGTACACAAATGAAGATTATATCAGTGTCTTTCAATAAAATACAAATGATTACATTCAAAAGAAATACTTCTAGTAAAAAAAAAAAAAAAGAAAAAAAAAAAATATATATATATATATATATATATATATATATATAATAAAATAAAATACTTCTTTAAGAAATCAAACTTAAAAACACCATCCAACCACAAGCATACAAAACAAATATAAATAATAATGAAAAAAAAAAAAAAAAAAAAAAAAAAAAAATTGGACTTAAAAATAATCAAGGCTAAAGTTGCCTTTACTAAAGTAGGTATTAAGCTTTGAGATATACATTAAGATTGATGCATTGTTCTTTTGAGATTAGCACACAAAATCTTACTAGACAATATATTCAAACAAGAGCTTGCATTTGAAAGTTGTTTTATTTAATTTTAATTTTTAATTTTTTAGGTTTTTTTGTTACTACTAATCTAATTCTAAGTGGCATAATGGTACCCTATCAACAATGTGCAACAGCTAAAAATACCACAACAAAGGAGAGAGAAGCTAAGATACATGAGCAATACACATCACACAAAAGGAGTCAAGGGATGGACCTAACCCAGTTATAAGGCATGACATGAGTGCTCATGCCATTCTAATGTACAACATGCAAATAAATTCATTCTAGAATGCATAAAAACTCTTGATCTAAGAACACCAAAAGGTTCCTATTGCGGTACTAAATTTGCCAAAGATTTGCCAATGCATCTTGTTTTTGTAAAGACACTACTTAATTCCTTGCTTTATACAAATACGGTGTCGTATTATGTGAAGTCTTGCTTGAGAATGCACCGAGCACCTGGTTGTGGAAGGTAAAAGAAAATTGCAACAAAAGATCTTAACAATCCAATAGGAATATAGAAAATTTATAATTAAACGTTAACAATCATAATCAAATATTAAGCAAGCTCAATTAAATTTTATTGAAGTTATAAAAGAAACACAAGGAAATCCTAAAGAAATATAAAAGAATATTAAAGAAAACTTAGTCAAATCCTAACAAAATCTAATAGAACCTTAAATTCTAACCAAATCCTAATCCTAATCTAACCTTAATCAAACCCTAGACAAATCCTAAATCCTAAACCAAACCCTAAACCCTAAATCAAATCCTATCCAAACCCTAAATCCTAAATCAAATCCTAATCCAAACCTTAAATCCTAAATCAAATCCTATCCAAATTCTAAATCCTAAACCAAACCCTAATCCAAACCCTAAATCCTAAACTAAACCCTAACCCAAATCCTAAATCCCGAATCAAATCCTAACTAAACCCTAAACCAAACCCTAATAATTCCTACAACAGATTTAAAACTCAATAACTAATGAATAAACCGTTGATCTTAACAAAAAAATTTCATACTTCTAAAAAAAAAATTTAAAAACAAGTACAAATTTTTTGATAAGGATCGGAGTTACCAAATTGACGATATTCTCAAAAATGGGCTCGGATATTGGCTGGCATCCTTCTTCAATCTTAATGCCAATCTTCCAGAGCCAATATCTCTCCTTTGCACCTTTCGATTGATCTCAAAATTCTTATACGAGTATAAAAACAAGTCTAATATCTTTTCACGCAAGTTTCACTCCAATCCAACCAATAGATTGCAAGAAATCTCAAAAACCCCCACTAGACCTAAAATTCTACTTTTTGAGACCTTGACCCTTTTAAACCTCAATATCCTTCAATTTAACCATTAGATCAAGTTCAAATTCATGACACATATTAAACACAACTATAACCATAAACCTACAAAATTTCACCTGTAGATCTACTACAAAACTCTTGAAATCATCCAAAACATAAACCCTATTTTATTTCAAAAAACCCAAGTCATCCGAAACAAACCTCAACTTTGCAAAGCTTTTACAAAGTCAAATCAACTGCAAATCATCCAAAATCAATGCTCATAGAAAGCCTATTCAGTATGCTATCAAACCTCATTCTCTGATATCCAAAAAAACCTGGGAGTCATTGTCGAGACTCGGTTTTGTACCCTAGGGTCTAATTTCGACCCTGGTTATAACCGGCCCTCTCCGGGTATCAATATCTAGTTTTTCTAAGTAATTTTTTCTAGAATTTACTCTTAAATTTCTTCTAAAGATGCTTATATCATTTATTTTTCCAATCTACTTTGATTTGTCTTACTTATGGTACTACAAAGTAAGTAGAAGTCACCTTTCTAAAAGGCAGCATTGGTACCTTTTAATTTTTCTATCCCTTTGACTATTAACTATATTTCTAAGATAATTTGTTCTAATACTTTGGACTAAGATCTCCTAAATTATAATAATCTCCACACTCTTTCACCTATTAATCATGTTACATCATGACAATCGATGGCTTGGTGGAGATAGAATAGTAGATAGTAGAACTTGAAAACATCACTCAAGCTTGTATTGTATCATATCAAGAGTTGAGATATAGATATTATTATGTTGATTTTCATGCATCAATAGTGACACATCAGATGTTCCTACTTATATTGTGTATGCTAGCAACTAGTAACTAGTATAATTTTGTTTCAAAAATAAATCCATGCTTTCAATCCTTACAAATTAGTAGGTTTATTTGCTCTTATCTACTTATCCAACAATTTGTATCATTGGAATTGAGTAACCTAGCTAGTGATGTCAAATTGAAAGTAGAAAATAATAAGGCTTATTGTAAATGGATTTGAACTTATTACTAGAAGGTAGACTAAACCAAATTCAATAAAGTTAAAAAATTAGACTTAATTGAGTAAACAAAAGAAGCTGAAATGAGCAGGTAAGATAGTAGTACCAAATATTACAAAGAAAAACTAAGAATATGGACAACAATACATAATATACTTATATGAGGTCTACTAGCCAAACATAATGATTTGCCACTCTCTCTAGCTTAGGCCTTGGCCAATAAGTAGGATGGGTAATGAATTTGCCCGTATTTCTACTGTTAGTACCTGATTAATATTCAAACATAGGCTTAGAGTTTCTTCCTCTAATCCTCTACTGCATCCACCTCCAACTATCTTGATACCAAAATATTTAATGTAGACGACTATGTTACAAAAATCCTTGTTGAATTTGATTGACATAGAGGCATTAGAACTTATGGTAATAATAGACATAGACCAGACTTGCCTAAAAGATGATTCTATTGCCTTCAAAGAAAAATTGGTAATTAAGATAAGTAGAATGTAGATGCTGTATTTTCTATTATATTAGCACTCTTCATTACAAGAAGTTGTTGATAATCAAAGGTAGATCAATTATAATCTACAAATAAGATAATTGACATGAAACTTATATGCTCTTTTAAGTTTACTAGACTCCATGATAATAGGTTGTCATGGACATATGCATGT